TTCTTTACAACCTTGTAAATGAATGATGCTCACATTCCTTTGACTCACAAGTTTCTCTTCTATTCCATTTGTATTTAGAGCTCATTGCTTTGCAACTTATGATTTAATTTTAAGCATGATCACACCTTCTTGCACAAGTTCAAACTCAATTCAAGTCCATTGTTGTTCAAAACTCAAATTCTTTATATTTGTTCATTTGAGTTCAAGTTATGCATAGTCCTTCGCATTTTCTTGTATACAAGTCCAAGTGACCCAAGTTCAAGTTTACAAGTCTTCATAGTTAAATTGCAAGTCTTTGCTTGTGTTCAAGTTGTTCAAGTCTTTGCTCACATCATTTGATTTTCAAATCAAATGCAAGTTCAAGTTCAATTAAAGCTCAAATCAAGTTTGAGTGTAGTCCTTTGTAGTTTATCAAGTCCCTTGTATCACTTTAAAGTTCAAGCTTATTATTGTTCAATTCGAGTTCAAAGAAAAGCTTGAGTCAAGTTCTCATTTCAATTTTATTTTAATTAAGTTCAGAATTAGTCATTTGCATTTTGTCCGCAAGTTCATATATAAGTCCCATGCCGTCCTTTCAGTTCAAATAAGTCCAGGTATAGTTTTGCGTTTACCTAAAATTTCGGCAGCCTCCCCGCATCTCCCCCGTTTAGGGGCAAACTACGGGAAACTGAGCCGTTCCCACCACGCAAAGAAAAGCGTGTATGGTAGGTGTCCTCGGACGAGGACACCGCGGCCATATTATTTTTTTTATCCCCCACCATGTTAAAAAAGCTTGTATGGGTCTTCGGTACCTGTTGCAAAGGAAAATCAGTTGTTTCCCCGCAATCGGGTACTTATGGGTATCCTTACTTTATCGTACGCATCGCATCGGGTTCTCATCCCACCACGCTAAGAAAAGCGTGTATAGCTTCAAAAGATAAGACATGGCTAACTTGTCTTATGCATGACAAGACATGTGTCATACTTATTTTATATGTCACATGGTCACATGACATATAAAAAAAAATAGTTAGAATAAATTATTTGTGAATTAGAAGTTCATTCTCTCAAGTTAATGATGTAGATTTTATTTGGTATAATTTTTTACTTAAGTAAATATTTAATATAAAAAATTTTAAATTTTGAAATTTTTATACTAAAATTTTATCTTAAAATGTAATAAGAAAATCGTCTCAAATAAAGCCTTCACTTGCTAAGGACAATTTTTAGAATAAAATATAGACATATTTGAGTTTTTTGTTAAGGCCAAATTTTATAAGGGAGTAATATTATTTTCAAAATTAATAAAAGGAGTATTAATTAATTAAAATTTAGAAAAGAACAAATACGTTATTCAATTTGACGTATTATTCATATAACAAATAGAGAGAGGGTATGCGTCATTTTAAATGGCGTATTACTCACATAAAACTTATAAGAGAGAGAGGGGAGAGAGAGAGGGGCACGTAAGAGGGAATAATGGCAGCGGGAGAGAGAGGGTAGATGGCAGGGTATGCGCCTAAAGGCCGAATTTCAAAAAGGAGCATAGTTTGTGTGTAACTAAGCAAAAAAAAGTGTAATTTTTAAATAATTTAAAAATGAAAAAATACGCTAAATAATTTGGTGTTTTTTGTAGTAAACATAATTAATTAAGAATACGCCGAATTGTTTGACTTTCTCTCTAAAAAATGTCATATATTTAGACGTATTCTTAAAAAACGCCAAAAATAAGAGGGTATTTCTCATTTTGTTGTGCCGGGAGGAGAGAGAGAGACCAGGAATAAGGGGCAAATTATTGCATCCGGTCACCTGACATCCGGACAACCAATCCGGATGCGCCACATCACTCAAATACATCGGGACCCAGTGTATTTTGCTGATGTGGCGTGTCTGGATTGGTGTCCGGACGTATCCGGACACCGGACGCAATAATTTGCCGCTGTTGGGTGGCAAGGGGAAAGCCTGGTTCAAGCCTCGTTACCATTGGATGGTTTAGGCAAGAGGGAAGACCACTTTCTATCTTAGGCTAAACCAAGACCTAAGCTCGGTTTGGAGAGCTTAAGGAGAGCTTTAGGACCTGAATGGAATCCCTACAACAGCTAAGATATAAGGTGATAAGATATAATTAAGGAGTTGATCATCTAGATTAGTTTGAGCTTGGATTGACTTCTTGGACCATTCAACTGATCAAAGAAGATTGAGGTGGCAAGGAGGGGGTGTAGGGTGCTGCTTGAAATGAGTTTGAGAAGAGTTAAAGGGTTGGAGTCAATATATGCATAGATGAAATGATGTGGAGGGAAATTTGACCAAGTCAAACTTAATGGGGTTTGACTCATGATATGGTTGAGGATGATTGAATTAATCATTGAAGCGGGACTAAAGGGTTGAGAGAATTTGATTGAATGAGTAAGATGATTTGATCAAAACTATGAAAATCTAACCAAACTGAAAGGGTTGACTTGGTCAAACATATTTGGATTCAAGTCAACAATGCCTTGGAAGACTCCAAACCAAGCATTGAGATGACATTCAGGTTTTGGAGGGGTTAATTTGATTGGATAGAATAGTTTGACCAAAATAGGTCAAGTTTGACCAAACTTTGGTCTAGTTGACCAAGTTAACTATTGACTGGAAAGGTGTCCAGTGAAATTCAAATCACTTGGGGTGGTGTTAAAAGTGGTTTGGGTGGATTTGAAGTTGATCTGAATTGATTAGATGTAAAGAGCTTAAGGGTCGACCTAGTCAACTTATGTAGACTTGGTCAACCAGGTTGACCAAGGGGCAGGGGTTGGGCTTAATAGATTTGAACTAATATTTGGAGTCTGGTGGAAGTGATTTCAACGTCTGGATTAGTCATCTTGGTCAACCTGACCATTTTGATCCTTAAGGGGCATTTGGGTCAACCTAGGTTGATTTTGGTCAACTAGGTTCACCTAGGGGTTGGATTGAGAGTTGATTGGGGTCTTTATGGATGAAAAGTGTAGACTATCCTCCATTGAATCATCAATCAAGGGATTTGGAAAAGTCCTGATGACCTCATACAAAATTAGGTCAATACTAATGCAGTTGCCTTAAAAGGAAATCATTGAAAATATACTTGCAAAACACTCATTAATCATACATTGGATTCGAAGTTAATGATAGGATGGAGCATTTAATATGCGAGGGGAGTTTCATGGTTTGAAGGCACCAATACTTAATGATAGCCCTCATTATTTTATGTTCATTGCTTTGCTCTTCAACTCCAATTGTGCTTAGTGGCTGTAGCAAAAAATTATTAGAATGTGAAGCATCTTTTTGAGATCACTTCAAAATTGTCAATACAATAGAAGCTTCATGTAAGAGGAGTGATGCTCTTAGAGTAATTCAACATAATAAAATAAATTTTCATCTAACTATAAGTGAGTTGAGCAATGGTCGGGCTTTGAGCCAAGAGACAAGAAAAAACCATTAGAATGTGAAGCATCTTTTTGAGATCACTTCAAAAATTGTTAATACAATATGAGCTTCATGTAAGATCAGGAGTGATGCTCTTAAAGTATTTCAACATAATAAAATAAATTTTCATCTAACTACAAGGGAATTGAGCAGTAGTCAGGGTTTGAACCAAGAGACAAGCTTATAACGAACTAGTGACACCTATTGGGTTTTGTATTTTCATAACTTAATTAATTTGAAAAGAAATGTACACTTCAATAATTGAAGTGCTTGAAATTATTAAGAAAGATGATCAATAAGTGTTGAAGATGGTGTTCTGATAGATGCTATGGAATATTTTAATTTTATTATTGCAATGCACTTAATAATTGATATTCAGGTGTTACAAATAAATTATCATAAACTTTGCAGAGAAAAGATCAGGATATCATGAATGAAATGAAATTAGTTCATATCTCCAAATAAGAATTACAAATGATGAGGGAAAATGGATAGGATTCTTTATCAGAAGAAGTATCACGTTCTTGCAATATGTTTGAAGTTGATGTTCCAATTATGAGTTCTATATTCAAGGCTCGCCGACATTCAGTACGAAAAAATGAGGAAATAACAAATTTGCATTATTATCGTGTAGATTTTTTTATACTATTATTGATATGGAACTTCAAGAGCTAAATAATAAATCTCTAAAGTTAGTACTGAATTTCTACTTTGTATTTCGTTTCTAAATCGAGGTAACCCATTTTTTGCTTATGATAAGGAAAATTAATTCGACTTATAGAGCTATATTAAGCAGATTTTTTTATAGTTGAACTTGTGGCTCTGGAGCACTAGTTATCTACATATATTCTTGATATGCATACAAGCGAGGAGTTCTCATATTTGGGTAGCATTGTTGATCTTGCAAAATAATTTATTAATGTTAATAAAGATATTGTGCATCCCTTAGTTTACCTGTTGATTTCCTTGGCATTAATATTGCTATTTGCCACAACTATAGTGGATAGAGCATTTTTTGCAATAAAAATTGTTAAATATTGATTAAATAATAAAATGGGTGATGACTGACTCAATGATTTTCTAGTAACATATATTGAGAAAGAGGTATTTGATTTGATCCCAAATGAAGTTATAATGCAACATTATCAAAAAATACAAAGTAGAATGTAAAACTTGTAATTTTTGCAATATAATAATTTGTTTTGAATTTTGTTTTATATATATTTTTATTTTTTTATATATTTGTCCCCCCTAAAAACTAAAGTTGGTTCAGCCCCTGATCTTAACCCTTCCACCACCTCACCAAAACTCCTAGAAATCTCTTAACAACATCCTCCTCACCCATTCTCATAGGCACCAACATCATTGGCATGTTAGACTAAATAAAGCTAACAAGAAAAAAAAAACAGGAATACAAAACTTAGGATGTCATTGGGTTAATCTTAGCGCTCATAACATGTGTATTGGATCAGAATAAACTTTTAAATTCCTTCACTTTTTTTGCTAACTGGAAATCATGTTTTGGAGGGTGGGCGTGCAACTGGTAAATAATTCTTCTGAGAAAGATCAAAAAAGAAATGTACCTCTTTGATAAGTTTCAGATTGACTAACAGGTGGAAGTTTTGCTGTTGCTTGCACAACTTCATTCAATGGTTTTGGGATTGGGAGTTGAAAAACACATGTTGTTGTAGTTTCTGTCATTCCATCGCTTGTCAAGGCAGCAGAAAGATTTTTTTCATGATCCAACATACTATTAGCAGAAATAAACCAATAAGCTGGTTTTCTGGTGCGAAAATCTTGTAGGTGAAAATGGAAAAAAAAACATCATTACAAACCGCATTACTAGACATATATGTGGAGGATTGACAATCTTTTAAGTACCTAAAGTTAAATGGAGGTTCTGGGAAGTGAGGCATTGATCAGTTGCAGAAGTATTGATTCTATTGTCAATACTTGCAGTTCCGACCGCTTTCCAGCCAGGTTGCATCATAGGAGTTTCAAGTGAAGATACATCCTTCATTATAAAGAACAGTATTTTATAGCCATTCAACCACATCAAGTGCTAAAGGTAGCAACATAGGTATCTGGATGCAATTAAACATTTACTTCTCAAGCATTGCTTAAAAAACATATTACTATAGAATATTGCGACAATCAGCAATATCTAAAAGACTATATTCTGATGCACATGGATTTTAGCCTGATAGTAACTTATAAGTGCACAATTAGAGAAGCTGTGTAGCAGCTAACAAATGACTTAATCGTTTTAGAAGTTAACATAAAAAATCATCAAGCACTTCAAGTTCAAGGAGTACATAATTTTTAATTCAGTATCAGAAGGAACAAAGATATTACGTTCGAAGACCACTTCAATGATGAAAACAAAATGCAAGTGAAATACAGTAAAGATGATAATAATTAAGAAGAAACTTTAATATTTTCTGTTAACCGGCACGTGTACCTTCACTTTCAGCGGACCTTGACCAAAGAAATCTGAACCTGCATTGAATATGATGGATGATAAAATTTAAAGATTGAGGTTTTCTCCATTGAAGACACCAAACAGTTGATTATGGTTAATGATCACTGTGATGATGATAATGATTAAGTCCTCTTCAAAACTAGTAACATGAGCCATTCAAAAGTAAATGAAACAACCAAAATACCAGTGACCTATGACCACATATCAAAGGACCCGCTCAGGCTGACCTCAACTAGAAGCGTAACAACCTGGATAGTATGTTGAACAAGATAGAAGTGAAGCGATGCCCAAAGCAAACTGAACCACATGAGGTTTCATTTTCATTCAATACAATTTCAAGCATCATAAAATTGGTAAGGCTTATCATTATAATTTAGTGCGGATAAATTTTCTAACAGATTCAACCCACGACTGTATGTTTGACCTGAAATTACCGGAACAATGTCTCTAGAGATTTAACTTGAAAAAGACTTGCAGGATTTGATTTGGATAGGCAACAGATTTAACATAAGAAAAACCTGCGGGATTTGATTTTGATAAATACCAACACTAATATTCAATGGTTACATACTCTAACATAATTCGCCAAAGAAAAAAATCATGCATGCATAAAGAATTGCGTTTGCACTGAACACTGAATATATGCCAATGAAGAGGCATAAAATATACTCACTTCCTATGGTACTAATGAAAGAGTTCAAAGCATTAACTGCCATTGAAGATCTAACTGTCTGTGGGGCTGGAGACAACCCTGAACCTCGAAGAACAAAAGCTGAGGGCAACCTGTATATAACTGAAGTTTAGATGCTCCAAACTGAGAAGGAAAAAAATATTAATCAGTTGCAAGGGTGCATATCTATAAAAAAATTTGACCATTGCTTGTATGCTTGTCCTCCATAGCTGAAATGGACATTGACATAGTAATCACTCGATAAAGGTTGACCATGCTGCTTGGCACGAGTGTAAAGGAAATAGTCAACTTAAAGGATATTATAGCCCAGGCAACAAGACTATCTAACAAAAAAGAACCAACTAAATTGAATTTTTAAAAGAGATTATGGGAAAGAGAATTTATCAAGAATGCAGGGAAGAAGGGAGGGTAACAAGTTTTGTCTTCTTGCCTTAAATTTCCAAAGTTCCTCCAACAGTTCAAAATTCTCTCCAACAGGGGGCAGTTTGCTCAGTCCTAACATAAAAAATCAACTAGAAAATGCTTTGGGACGATTCTTAAGCCCAAGGTTCAGGAAAAATGTAGTCATTTTTACCTAAGATGTGTCCATTGCAAAGAGAAGGAAGAATAATGCAAGCAGTAAAATGTCTATCTTTCTCCACGAGTGTTATATTGCCATCATGCAAACTTTGCAAAGCTTGGGAAGCAATTAAATCTGTGATCTAAAATAGTATGCCAATTTGGTGAATTAAAAATTGCTATTATTTGACTTTAGAAGATGAGAAAACTGAGCATGATACCTTATCCCTGGTAAACCAAATTACATCGGGTGAAACAAGTAAAATAAGACCATCTATTTCTGATTGTACTCTCTGCAATTGCAAGGTAAAAAATATATCATTTTATAAGACAGAGAACAATAATGAAAACAAGTGACGAAACAAGGTAATGGTTATGTATTATTTATTGGATAGAAAAAATAAAATAAAAATTTATCAATAGCTAGTTTTCTTAGAGAGTGATGAAAACAATAAGTTTCATTTTTTTACTTCACTTCTATGTCTTGCCTATTTATAAAACAAGGTTCATGTCATGTTGATCCCATCTAGTTTTCATTCTCCACATTCATCATATATTAATCTATGGTACTCCCCTCGCAACCACATTGAATATTTGTGGCCTAGGGGAAGAAGAATATGTCACTTGGCCAACTATCATAATAAGAACCACTATCAACTCTATCATGTAATTACCTTTCATGCAAAATGCTTGGACATGGTTATATTATTCAGGTAAGACTTCTTCGAGTATTTTAGTGCATGATGTAATATTTTATGAGAACCGAAATGATGTTCCTTCATTCTTGTACTACCTTTATTTTAACTTCTTTATCACAGTAATTGCATTTCCAATAAATGTCTTACTTAAAAATTTGCATTCAACACTATACTTACATACCGGGTTTTTTATATTACTTCTCCTATTTCCGATTGAACTCTTTCAAAAGTTCCCACCATTTCAAATAACACTAAACTAAGAATTTCATCCAAAACAGTGAATAGAAAAAAGAAAAGATAAAAGAAAATAAAATTACAAAAAGAAGAAAGAACATTAAAGAAGATAAGAAATTATGGAGAAGGGCTACCGGTGACAGAAAACAGTAGCTACAACATAGTAATGGTGGTAGCATAGTAGCAATGACGGTGACAAAGCTGCATCTGTGGCTCTTTGCCTAGGAAGAAATCTCCTGTGCAACTCCCAATTCTAAGCGTGAGTTGAGGTTCATGAATTTTGTTTTGTTTCTTAATGATATGGGTTTAGTTATAAATTATAATTCCAATTGAGCTTCAGGCTTTCAAATTAAAAAAGCTAATCACCTTCTAAAATATGAAATTGAGGTGCATGCCTCATTATAGAAACTGCAAGGCACGCCTCAAATAATTGAGCCATATGTCTCATTTATCCCCATTAGGTGCATGTGTCATTCAACCTAAGGTGTGCCTCAAATTGAGCAATTTTATACATTGTTTGCTATTATCTCACACATAGCGCAGTCACAATGACAAAACGTATGGTATTGTAAGAACCGGACCTATCCGGTTCATCTGAACCAAATATTTATCAACAAGCAGACGAAACAGGAAACGGAACCAAGCAGAGCCATGACCCAGGCGGGTCGCACGTGAGTGTAAGCGGGCTGGAAGGGCCAGTTTTTTATTCCGAGCGAAGATTTGAGTTTGGGAATGAAAGAAAACGACTCCTCGTGAGTATATCTTCATTTTACTTGTTCCTTTTACATCATTATCACTAAAGAAAGCAAACCGAGAGAAGAGGAATAGAGAGGAAGAAGAAGAAAGAGTAAGGTATGTTCGTCAATGTGGGCTCTGAAAATTCAGCCCCGGCCTCCCCGCCGCGCTGATTGTTTGCTTTTATCTTTTCGGCGAGGGAGTTTTAACGAACTAAGTTTCAAGATAAATTTTGGAAGGCATATGGGTTTGTAGATAAGACACTACCCAGAGATTTCGCCCTCATTTTGCGAGGACTTTATGATCTGAGTTATGGTTTCCTATAAACCCAAGCCCCTATAGTTAATTACCCCTCCCGATCATGAGAGAGAACTTTCGATTAAGGCTAGTCATCAATCAGATGTGTAGAGAATACGTGTTATCTGGCATATAGTAGGAGCATGGGTTGAATATTGGAGATTGAGTATTGGAAGATTGAAAGATTTGGATATTTGATATTTAAAATAGAAATTTCACCACTCACACTTAAAGCGGATGGTGGGGGAATGGATGATGGACCCGATCAAGATCCCATGGTTTCGTCGTCCCGGGCCATCATGGTCCCTGGTCTACTTAGTCAGAGGACGTAGTCGAACATAGGGGATAAATTTGAATCCACCTTAGCTGACAGAGGGCTTTGTGCCCTATCGATCATATCCTATTGATTCATATCTCAAGGATTTGATGTCAATAAGGAGCGTATTGGCTCTGGCCATAACTGGTATTTCGTGGTGCCATTTGGCGGCAAAACCACTCTGTTCAGAGGGCCTCGGGTCATAACCGTTTATCCTACGGTGCCATTTGGCGGCAAAACCGCCTGTCAGAGGACGTGTATCACGTCCTTACTAGTAGGAGATTGTTTGAGAATGAATCTTAGTGATATTTTCAACTAGGCATTGGCTCTTTGTGAACTGAAGTAGTTTTAATTTGTCCACCCCGGCAAATTGTTGCAGAGGGTAGAGGAATTTTGCTTTAAGTGATTGATAGATTATTTCGAATTTAAATATTTTGGAACTTGGGATTTTTTGGATTTTGGACTTTGTGGAGTTTTGGATTTTAAATAGACTTTTGGGAGACAATTGAAAGTATTTGTGAAACCCTCCGGTTGAGATAAGCAATCAACGCAGCCATCATCGGGGTGTGATGGGTTATTTCTCTTTGTTGATTGAACCCTGCCGACTGTATCAATTTGTTGATAGGGGATCGGGTTTCATAGGCTTTATACCTTTGTTAGTGAATTCTCTTTATTATAGGCCTTAAAACCTAATATGAATATATTAAAATAAATACACCGATCGCCACAACCGTGTATTTGTTTGAAGGTTTGTTAACCTCTGTAAAAATCACACAAAGAAGGGAAGAAACCAAAATCCAACATACATACCTCATGTTTGTTGGATTCAGAAATCATGCTCAAAACCCGCTGAAATGTCGGCTATTCGGCGCTGGCAGCGCCGATTCGCGTCTCTTCTCGCAATTCCTGTTGAAATCCCGCTCTCGAGCTCTATCACACTCCCCATCGTTAAATATCGGACCTCCACACCCAGTCGCTCTCTCTGCTTCCACGACCAGAGCCGACCAAGACTACTTCTTCTTCCACGACCAAATCCTGATCTCCGCTGCCTCTTCTCCTCTATGCCCGACCTGCTCACCCGATCAAAATCCCATTTCCTTTCATCCCCTCTAGCTCTAACTGAACTCCACCTCCTCAGGCCGAGGGAATTCGTCGCGATGCTTGCGACGGGACGGATAATCACAAACTCCGTTTTCGGCATTAGTGGTGAACCGGAAAACCAACTCATGCACGCCTTTTTCTAGCGTTGTGGGAAGGGAACCCGGTGCGACGCCTACGGCGAGGCGGGGTCAAATATAAAATTGCTTATTTTAAATCGGTGCCCAAAAAACCCATGCACGCCTTTCTCTGGCGTGGTGGGGAATAAAAATTTTACAGTCGTGATGTCCTTGTCTGAGGGCACCTACCGTGCACGCTTTTCTCTAGCGTGATGGGAGGCCCAGGTGTCTGTATTTTTCCCCTAAACTGGGGAGATGCTGGGAGGTTGTTGAAATTTCGGGTGAACTTAAGATTGCATTTGGACCTGATTTGAATCAAATGAACCTAAACTCAAGTGAGTTTGAATAATGCAAGAGAATTTGATTGAACTCAAAAAAGAACAAATGCAAAAGATTGTAGTTTTGGACAACTACAAGAAGCTTGAACTCATGCAAAGGACTTGATTTGGACTCAAGTGAACTTGTAATTTGAACATCCACAGAGGACTTGTGAATTTGATGCAATTAACCTAAATGAATTCAAATCCAAATGAATTTGAACTCGAACGAATCATAAGACTTAAAGTCAAATTGAACCAAATACGGATGAACCTGAATTCAAGTTGATTTTGATTGTAAATTAAGTGGACATAATTTTGGACTTAATAATGAACTTAAAATTGAAGTATGCACTTGTGGACATTGAACTCAAGTTATACAACATCAAGTGGAGCTTTAATTTGCAAGAACTCAGCGGACTTGAACAAACTGCGAAGGACATGAACTTGATGACAAAGAACTCGAACCATAGGGGACTTGGACTCAAACTTGCACTTGTGAACCTTGAGCTCGAGCTATACAAACTCATATAGAAAATTGAGCTCATATCCAAACTAGATTCGAGCTCAAATGGGAATTGAACTAATGATTTAAGTTAAAAATCCAACATCATCCTGCAAGTAAAAATCCATGGATGAATAAAAGACTTATATTTCAAAGTGGGATGAATCGTTAATTCATTCACAAGGAATAGTGCACGCTCTCAATGAACTTGGTGATTTATCAATGGCCATACACAAAGAGTATGTAATGATTGTGACGATTCATACACAAGCATATGCTACGGATTCGTAGTAAATCAATTCTCTATTGCGCGCGAACATGCCAAGTGATAATGGATTTGTAAAATACACAATGAACTGTCCAAGAATAATGATAAGAATCATATGAGCGGTGAGGAGCAAGAACTCATCATACACACAAAGCTTAAACCGTATGCAAGTCAATAGCTATACAATGACCATCAAAAGTAGAAGTCCTTCACAAACAAAAGGCCAAATGATATCAATGAATATATATGCCCATGAGCTGCTGAAGGATACACATTATACATTCGACAAGTTATCTATTACGAAAGAACTATAATGGATGCAAGTATACACAACCGGAGGCAGGAGATTAGTTAGTGAACTACGATCCACTTGCAGAAAGAAACAAGTAGTGCATGACAGTTTACCTGTACGAAGCAACGAACAACTCTACTCAGAAGCTGCTACGCCACGCCACTGGATCCGCAACTTCTATGTAAGCGGACAGAAGACGTCTACAAGTACTTTCAAAATACCCCGACATGTGCATCGTAGTTTGTATATACATAGGTACACTAAAAGGGGTAAAAGAAATCATAAAACCTGCATGGGCTCCGGCGAGTGTGTTATTGGTACACACGTGACGTCTAGGGATGCTGCGCAGGTTATTAAA